CCGGTGATCCTTCCGCCTCAGCCTTCCAAGTAGCTGGAACTACAGGCACGCGCTACCATGCCCGGCTAATTTTTGAGTTATTGTAGAGATGAGGTCTCGCCAAGTTGCCTAGGCGGGTCTCAAACCCGCGGGCTCAGGCAATCCACTCACCTCAGCCTCCCAAAGGTGCAGGATTACAGGCTGAGCCACTGAACCCGGCTGACTTGCTGTATTTAATGGAAATTCTCATTAGTAATGTTGGCAACTAAACACTTGAATCAAGTAGCATTTTGAGTTAGATTGGAGTTGGGAAGCTACAGCAATTATGTGTAGAATAAAAAGATTTAAGTATAAATTAGTGTAATCACATTTTAAATGACCTCTTCTACTTACTAATGTCCATATTAGAGAATTTGGAAAATGCAGATGTGTTCAAAAATGGAAATTAAAATGATCTATAATCACATATGTCAGTCTTCATAGTATGATTTGTTTAAAATTGTCTTTCATTTCAAACTGCTAGACTTGCTGCATGGGGGAAAATGCAGATTGGGTTAAGAAAGTTGGACTTAGACCATTTACAGCTTAATTGTAACAAATTTTTTTACCTCTTGTTTAAATCTAAAGAGGACATTTATTTTTGCCTTTTTGTTGGATAAGTTGCTTCTTGCCGTAAATGTTTATTATTTGTTGCTTGTTACCTTTGAAAGGTACTGTGGCAACTCCTGTAAATAATGACTTGTCAAAATAGAAGGATTTATTTTAAATTGCTTAGAGATAGATACATTGAATACTTTTGAGTTGGAAAACTATCCAAATTGAGAGTAATTAACTTTATTACTTTGAGCAAGAAGTGTCATGTTCCCAGGTAAAACAGGTCATTACTGGTTTTAAAAATCACTGCTTTAAAAAATAGTCACCTGTACATAAAAGATGTTGAAAGTGTTCCAGTTTTCTAGGCATGAGGACTACATTATTGGAGGGACAAAAATTCATGCCTTCATGAAGTTTTACATTTAACCAGAATGAAAATGAATAATTTTCTATGCGTGTATCTCTAATTTATAATTAAGATATTTCATTTGATTTTTAAGATGCATATCTTAAATGGAGTGACATCTTAAAATTGGCCTGTTGTGGTTTAACTGGCAGCTTTTTTTCTTTCATAGCGATAGATTAAATAAAGTGTGTCTTAAAATTAGGGGCATCTTACATTCAGTGACATAGGGAATATGCAAAAGTGTCAGCACACTGATTAATGTTTAACACCAAAACCAGAATGAAGATACATAACATTTCTAGATCCTTCTATTTATTTATTTATTAATTTATTATTATTTTTTTTTTGAGTTGGAGTCTCACTCTGTCGCCCAGACTGGAGTGCAGTGGCCATTCCCGGGC